CCTATAGAACAAAAACTCTCACCATAAAAAAAAGTTAATGGCTGTCACGCAGAACTTCTACAAACTCAAACTCGGCTTTAGTAAACATTTGCTTGGTGGTGCATCCACACGAGGGTGAGTTGCTCCTGGAGACAAGTTATTTTTTCAGTCATTAAAAGTGCAAACAATTACGGAATGGTACGTGTACGAGCATCTTTTTTCGGGGGGTTAGGAATTTTCGGTTGAGGAAAAAAATAGACCGTATTTTTTTTTTTAATAATTCATGTTGCTTTCCTCTGACCCCAAATCTTGATACGCCACTCAATGATTTTGATTTCATCATAAAATTAAACTGGCAAATAATTTTGATGCATATTGATCAGGCATGCGCACAAAACTACAGGGCATTACATAATAAAACAGTCACTGTGACAAACGTACTGCACAGACTCATTTGCGAGCTAATTTGATTAAAATCTAGTACACTGAGTTGTCTGATTGCACATAAATATAACGATTTGAATTCCCCAGACTAAAGGCACTGTTGCTATACCTCATGGGTGCGTGACTGCGTTTGCGCGGTTACTCCTGTTAACACAGTAGGATGCGTGCGCATTACCTCGTGTACAGGAGTACCCCCCCCCCGTGAGAATACTCTCTCGCTGACCCTCGGTCGGTCATACTTCAGCCGTTCGAGCGCTCAGGAGTTTACATGCGCTCGGTCAACGCGAGTAGCTCGCTCGAACGCACCCTAGTTGTGATTCGGGGCAAGCTCTCGCATGGCGACCTCCATCTCTGGAATGGACTGGTTCCTTCTCTATCCGTTGAGAACAGTGTATTGTTGCAAGGCGTCTCTAATCACGCTTATGTAACTAAGCAAAAGCTTGCCCCGAATCAGGAGGTATAGAAACAGTGGGTTTAGTTTGGAGAATCCAAGTTGTTTATGTTGACGTGAATTTAAAGAACTCAGTGTACCAGATTTTGGTCAAAGTAAATTCGCAAAGGGTTTATTGGTTTATTTATCTATTTTTCATCTAGCCCCATCAAAAGAACGCATGCCGCAAGAGCACCAGGTGGGCGTGCCTTTGCAGCGCCTGCGCCTATGCATTAGGCTGCTGCGCAGGCGTATCGCTTGCTCAAATGGCGCCATGCGAGTAGGTTACACGCGTATTCACGGTGAAGTTCTATATCTTGCGCCGCTAGGCGGAGCTATACGATCTTTGATGTATACAACGCATGTCACAGCAGCCATGGACTTATACTGTGTTTCTCATTCTCTCCTCAAATAATTATTTTCTACGATGAAACGAAAACCAAATTTATTCATTTTAATCCTGCTATACAGACCTAAGTGGTAGAGAGCTGCAATGAATTTATTGCACATTGTTCTCAACCTCCCATTTCATAAATTCTTTGCAAATAACAGCAACTTGAAAAGACAGTAACAGAATGCGATTTGATGGAAGCGGCTGCAACATCAAACCAACATTATTATTATTATAATAACACAGATGGTTTAGCCACGAGGTTGTTCTTACCTACACTGATCTTGAGAAAATGGTTTTTTCTATTATAATACGAGTATTTCGAAACTGTAAGTAACCGTTGTTTTATGTTTTATCCATATTAATTATTATTTTTGCCCAGCAGTTTTATAATTTCATTGTCTTTCGACTCAACCGATGACGAATCAAAATCCTTCATGAGCCCTCGCTGTTTGGATTGTTTGACCTTTCGCCAGATTTGGACCATGCTCTCGTCAAGGACAGAGAAATCAGGAAGGTCAAAATGCCGGATCCTGGGATTGTCCCCACGGTAATGCACCAATCGAAGCTCCGTCCTCGGATCGATTGATTTCGCCTCCCCACCCAGCTTGATTGCGTGGATTTTGAAATAATGAACATTAATCGGCCGTAGAATGTTCTTATCCCTCCCTGTGTTCGGTAGAGTCGGATCCTCCGGTCGCCACCGATTACGCTCAATTATCGATCCGGGGACAGTCTCGGTCAGATTCCGGCGGCCGAAGAACCAGTTCTGCAGCCGAACGGCACCGAATTGATCCAAATGTGGGTCTCGTAAGTAGTCGGTTATCTTCGGCATGGATGGATTCATTGGTTGGATGTATTCATCTACGTCGATTTTGATCATCCAATGAGTGTCGTATCGATGGCGCCAAAGACAGTCATTCTCATGAGCTATTTGGACTTCCAGGTAAGACTTCTCATGCGACGGTCGGTGTGACCAGGGAATGACGGTAACAAAGCCAGACTCCACGTGCTCTCGGACAGTTTCACGAAGAAGGCTTAAATCCTCAGGCGCGTTGTCGTAGATGTAAGCGTGTTCCACGCCGACAAACCGGTGGAAGTCTAACCAATCTGGGAGGAAATCGTCCATGTCCTTGACCATCGTGCAAACGCTCAAGAACTGTTTCTTCGCACCAGAGTGGGTACCAACTCCTCGGCACACAGTAAAGTTCGTGTAAGCATACCTGTACCATTTGCGGCGCCATGTTTCCTTGTACAAACTCATTGTAAAGTTACGCTTTCCCCGATAAGCTTTTGGTAACAGGCAGGTCATAACAAACACATATTGCGATAAATAACCAAAGCTCCGGTAATCATCTACCACTGGGTCGATGGACGTCATTTCACCGTTCGGGAACTCACAAGTGAACCGAGCCTCGTTCCACTTTTCCCTTAAGAACCGTACCCCAACAAGCACGACGCTGCTGGATTCCTGAGCGACGAACGCCGAGTGTATGGTCGGCATGTCGGATCTCTCCAGCTTGTGGGTGAAGAAACAGGATTCGTCGGCGGGGAGAGAACGTGAATACGCGCTGGCGTTGCGTTTGATGTCCAACATCGTGGTGTACTTGCGCCACTCGGCGAACGCTGCCGCCAGACGTTTTGCCCGGTGTTCCCGTTGCTTCTTCGCGGTGAAAGACGGTTGCAGAATGGTAGAAGACAGCAGCCACAAGATTATGACGGCAAAGAAAGCGATCCATCCCCACCACGGTTGGGTCATTACGTAGTAACGCAGTCGTCGCATTGTAACCGAGTTCAGTATTTCAGTGTGCTTTATTTGATGAGAGAACGTCATTTATTGAGAGATGACAGTGACATCATCGTGTTAAAGACGGCTTGCCGCATTACACCCCATGGAGGTCAAACTGTCTCCAGACGATCACGACATCATTGAAATGTTCAGCAGATACGTCTCAGAGATCCCTAGCACGGAGCTGCCAAACTAGTGGACGATTACATGCAGACGACGCTCACAGTGACAAATTCATTCTGAGCGGTCGAAGCACTTGTCTTGCACTTGGTGAATTATGATAACGTCACGACGAGAAAAGACCTGTGCAGCAAAAAGAATTGTGAAGAGACGCTGAATCAGACTTTATTTTGAATAAATTGCTATGCCCCCAAACCAACCAAATCCTTTACCATAAATACAAAAGAATGCAAACACCTTTTACTAAAACTTCCAACAGCGAAGTAATGAACAGAGACTAAAGCCATACTCCAATGATCGCAAAGCAAAGTGTTCGTTAAGTAATCGAATTTCCAGAGAGCTAAACAGCAACCCACTATTGCCAACGGAAGGGAACAAAAGTGTAGGCGGAGAAAGCTTCATTTTAGCGTACTGAATGGAGGAAAGGAAATAGTTGTCACTGCTTTCCTTCCTCGGTGTTACTGCTCTCTACACCGCGTTGCAGGACCTGGAGTTAAGCCATAAATAGAGATGTGGCTGCCGGGGTCTCAAAATGCCCGGTGATTTTCTAAATAATTACTGAAAAAGGTCAGCTGCAATACTGCCTGTGATGGTTGCAGACAAACATCTAGACCGTTTGAAAATTTTTCGCAAAACGTCCTTTCACGTTTGCTTCGTGCAACCAGGGCCTGCGACTGAGTTGTTCATGCCAATCCAACAGGCAAAATGTTCCTCATAAGGATGTTCACATCATCCCTTTCAAACAGGTTGGCTATAGCATAATAGCTCAAGAGAGAGATGAGCACCCAGACCAAATGTCGAGGCGTCGGTCGCATGGTGAATGACCTTGAAGCCGGACAGAGAAGCAATCTCACAGGTATTTATCCAATTGTGACGAATGAAGGGTCTGGTGCTAACAGTCAAATCATGTGGAGTGGAAGAGTCAAACCATTCCTTCCCAAATTCCTCCATGGTTATGATCAAACAAAGGACGAAATATCAGTTAAGGATTTCGCTACAAGTGGAAAACCGGCTGCTTGTAAGTTTTTTAATAATCCAACAGCAAGAACACACGAGGGGTTGGGGGACTGTACCCTCAAGGTGGAGAAAGGTTTTCTCTGTGACTGTATACGTACCATTGGATACGACGAGAACTTGCCACATGATACGAGGAACATACGTTGAAGTTACGCAGTTACGTCGGGCCGCATGCGTCATCCCTCCCATGTGCAAATCGTCAGTCCCTACTATTGCGTTCTTTTGCCATTGGCAACGCAGGACCGCGAGGCATTATTGATAAAGCTAGGCACATTGTTGACTGTCGGTTTGAATATCTTCGTGGTAGATTGCCGTAGCTAGGTCGGTTTTCTCACAGAAGGCAGAAGCAGTCGTTTTATTTAATCTGCCTTGCGATCTGCCTGAGTAGATGTCGTCTAAGCTTTGCACATGTAGCTGAATTCTTTTGTCGCATCCATGTCTACTCGTTGCCACTCGGAGAGATTATATTGCGCTTTTGTCCTCTTACGTAACAGTATTTGGATTTCACGTTAAGTGCCCATGAGAAGAGCTTCGCGAGAGCCAAGTTGCTGATGGTGACGTCACAACCCATACAGCCCAACCTCATTAATAAAAGCCTTGTCAGGCCTGAGAAAGATTCTGCTTATAAGAAGGAAAATGTCAGGTCCTAATCCTTTCATTATTTTCATTCCTGATAATACAAAGTTCCTGTTATAACAAGGTAATTTGCCAAGTCCGAAGAACCTCAAACAAGGAAAAACGAGGTTCGACTGTATTAATTGCTACGTCTTCTTCGGGAACGAGTTGAGACGTGGCTATGGCTACAGTATAATTCACTGCAAAAATGTCCAGCCAGTTCGGACAGGCCCCTGATTCGAGCAGTGCTCTAGCCTTCCGGAGACTGAGAAGATAAGCTGATTAAGGTCTAATGGACCAACCATTAGCTCGAGCGTCCATATTTCCAAGCTCTATACAGGATGGATTCTTTCTCAGAGAGCAATGAAATCATACAAATAGGTCCATGTGAACTGGTCGAAAATCATGAAGCGGCAATAGACGGACGAAAGGCCTAAGGGCGAGCAGAAAGGGTATAATCAAGCGATTGCTCGATAATATTTATCTCCAGCTGGAAACCCCACCCCTCCTCTGCCTGCAAATCGGAAGGAGAGATCGTGGTAAACCTATACGTTCTTCATTTTTTAGGCTATTTGCGTTTTCCATTCCATTTTTCATAACAAAAAATTGCTGCCTGCAAGGTGAATTATTTTGTGGTAGCTTTTCAGGGTAACTTCCCACACAGCACCCGGATATGATTAGTATAAGACTTCATTACAACGTATAAAATTATTCAGGAATGCCTTTTCACAAACCACAGCCTGTCAACCAGGGTTGAACCCAACCCTTTGGCGAAAATCTTGATTTTTCACCTTCACACCAGTTTGATGCAATGTTGTTTGATGCGGATGAATACGATTTTCAACCCGGGTTAAAAATCAACTCAGGTCATGAGTATGGTTGATTTCAACCTCGAAGCTATAAAATGGAACCCAGTTTTAAGCGTTCTGGGGGATAACACATTTGGCGCGGGGTGGAAAAAGTTCAAGTGTGAATTGGCACCAGTCTTCAACCCTGCATTCACCTGCGTCAGTCACCTTTATTCGGTACTGCATATGTACATCGCTGTAGCCTGTTTTGTCTTCTGGGGGGAGGGCGACGTAAAAGTCCTAACAGACTGCAACATTCAGAATATGAAACAAAACTCTTTTCCCCAAATTTATTTGATCACTAGAATGTCTGGGAATATGAAGAAATAATTAATATACAAAACAATGAGCAGTTATATACAAATCCTCCCCCATAAATTTGTTCACTTTAGTCCAGCAATGTACAGTAGGCCCTACTGATTGAGCTATGGCTTTTTATTCATCATAGGCCTATCTATTACTTTCTTGACAATGTACATGTATACAACGAAGTATCAGAAATCTATGTTATTGCGAAATCCGGTCGGTGGGTTTAATTTGACGGATCTCTCCACGATTTTTGTCGATGCATCAAGTCTTACCATTTTTCACGGTAGTCACATTTATTGCAATCGCAGAATCAAGCAAAACTTGTGTAAAATTGTTGTTTTAATGGAGGATTTCTTTATCAAAGCCTAAAGTTCTCAAATACGTGTCTCTGGTGTAAGATGTATATGAGATTTACAGTTATTTAATAGATTCGAAATCTGATCAGATGAATGTCAAGTGATAGGGTGCTCAGTATAAATAATTAATCAAAATTCAATTTATTACAAATTTTACAACTTTCGAGGAGTAAAACACATGAAGTTAATTTATAATAGACGGATCTCGACAAATAAATATCCAGTAATAACTTGATATCAAATTTGCTTTAAGGGAAGAGAATAACTCTCCAATCATAAACAATGCCTTCCTGTTTTGTATTCCACCTAAACCAAACCCACTGGTAAAACAACTAGACCTGTCACAATCTCAATGGTCAAATTATCTTAAGCAAGTGATGGCATCCTACAAAACGGATATTTCCTCCAACGTGGCAGTGGGCACAACGAACTGACTGAAGTGAAAAACACTGACAATGTGCAAAGTGCAAAACAGTTTCATGGGGGAGGGGAGGGGGTTGGGTGGATGGGTAGGTCACGGGTTGGGAAGGGCAACCCATCACAAGCTACAGCAGGCAGGAACTTTGTTCTCAAAAGGGCAAGGCACTTCCTCACTTTTGAAGGGCACTTGTATTAGAAAATCAACTTGTACATGGGGATATTTCAATAGGCGTTGTCTCTGATGCCTTGAAGACGTTCCTAACCTGCTATAGATAATGTACACTGTAGACAGCAGATAAGCTTGACTCAATTACTTGCTCAAGCACTTGCTCAGTCACACTGGATCAGTCTCACACATATGATGAATGCCCCCCCCCCCAGCTTTGAACACTTTCTATCCATGATGGAAATAGATATATTTTATAAATTTTACTGAGAACCCTTGAAATTGCATTTGGGTTTCAATTAACCTTATTTTACAGTTTTGTTTTGCAATTTAAGCCCATATTTTGATGCTTTTTGATTTTATGCTAATGCAATTTGCATATTCATGAACAGAACTATGATGTCGTTCAGTTCACGCAACTCAACAAAGATGTCCACCAGTCTTCATACATGGAAGAAGAGTACAGAGTTACACAAAAAGTGATTCTTAGAAAAATTGCTTTCCTGGATCGATGAAAGGAGAAACCATCACACCCTGTTCCTAGTTTAGTCAGTGTCATGCCCCTTCCCTACTCCTTAAAAACAAAAGAAAAATAAGTTCTGCATATCTGACGTTGTCTTTCCCAACGACTGATGTAAAAAGCTTGCCTATGCGGTTTTCAAGGAAATAGTGTAGATATAAGGAATGTTGGTCCGGTCCTCTGCTATAGTTATGTACACTCCTGGACAGTCACTCTCTTTTGAAGTAGAACGCTTTACCCTGGGCTTGTAGTTCTTGTTCATAGCCTTCATATTCCTGCTGAAGTCGCTGCCTGAGGGCCGCTCTTCTAACCTAAGGAAGAACACAGACAAACACAAATCCAACTGGTCCATACATCAAGGAGAGTCGAGGCCGTATGAGGGATGCAGCTGTCACATGAACATATTGCTGCCAAATTGGTGAGCACTTTGAGATTATAGGTTTTTGAAGGCTGCAATTTCAGGAAGAACCTTCTTGGTAGTGACCAGTAACAATAGTAAAGGTTATCACATGAACACCAGAGCTAGCATGGAACTTCTTGAACCAGCAGTTGGCATGGGTGTACATTCAGAGGAAAATTAGTTGTAGCAACTCTACACCGCACCATACAATCAAGCATTGATGCCTTGTGGGGTAACAGAACAAAAAACCACTGTGTACGGTTGAAATTTGTCTCTGAAACGTTCTAGAGGTGTGTTGCACAAACTACTTTTGACCATAGCTGTCCATGACAATGTTGTAATCGAGTCGATTACAAGTCCCTGCGAGTCCCGGCATCACAAGTCATCTGATATGAAGTCAAATCTTCAAATGAGCAGTGACAAAAGCTTTCCTCTGTCACTGTTTACCTTGTTATTTTTTGTTTAATAAGAAGCATTCTATTAAAACACTGTTCCTAGAAGAATCTGGTTTTGATAAAGCATATTGAACATGTGGGTGGAGCACTCAGGAGATGGAGGGGGGGTGAAGAAACACAGGATGATAAAGGATCTGACAAAGTAAAAGGTAGATTTTGGCAATAACGTTTATCAAATAAGTCTGTTAATTTATTCCAAATTCAATTTTAATAGAATGAAACAGTTCTGACGGTTTTTGTTTACCTCTACAAGAGCTTTGTTGGCAAATTTGGTCTCTGTCTTGAGTTGAGAAGCTAAATCTTTGGCTTGGCGGAATTCACTGGCTTCCTCCAGATTCTCTGACCAGAATGCCTTCTGGTTAAGCTCCAACTCACTGCAATATCACCCAAAGAGACGAATAAATTGAGTTTAATTTGATGACCTATTTATTTAGCGTTCAATGCACAGGCATTGTGCAGTGTCTGACTCGATGTTGAACCTGAACCCAATTACAAAATAGATCTTGTGGTAATGTAGCAACTATAGACAGGAATATTTCGGTGGTCAAGGGGAAAAAATAAATTCAAACATGAAAAAGTTTTTAGGTCCCCCCCAAAAAAGACAAACACCTTTTTTAGTAGTTTGAAAAACATCTTTTAGTTCCAGACAAATTGTGGACCCTCATTGCAATGAAGTCTCAGGAAAATATCAGAAACTCTGAGATGCAGTGAAGCGAAATTCAAGAAGTGCATCCAGGCTTATTGCAAACAACAGGACTTTAAAGATTACTATTACAATCTGGTGGAAACACACAACCTGCTGAAATAATCTGTGACAGAAAATGCAGCAATTGTAGAGTTTGATAAATGATTAATACATGCACGTACTGTATATAATTACCTTTTGACAACTGACTCACGTCTTGCCATTAGCTCATCATACTAAAACAAACAACATAAATTATTCAGATCAAAGCAAATACCAAATGATTTTAAACATTTCCTCCAGAAATTAGGTAAAAACTACAATGTACCAAGAGAGACGGGGTTGGGAGTGGAGTTCTAAAACCATTACAGAAGAAAATGGTCACGATAAAATGTAGAACTGAGAGTAGGTTTATACAGTGAACATCATGGAAATATTTAGTTGGCGAGGAATGGTAGATCTTAATGATAAAACTCTGAGCATTCATCTCAAGAGACTGGGAGACATAGGCTAATGTAACCAGTAATCAGAACAGTTAATAAATAAGATTCCTAGGCCATAGTGCTAAGCAGGCTTGGGCTTAGCCC